CTGCCACCATTCTGCAGCTGTGACGGTGAACAACCACAGCTGCATCTCATAGCAACACAGCCTCCAGCAGACCTCATCCACCATCATATCGGGGAATCAAGATGTTAACATCATACCATTCATGGAGTATTCCTTTCAACTCGGTATTCAGTATTGCACTTATTTTATTCATAATGATATTTGTATTGTCTCATGCAACAATAACTTTTTTCCGCATGGTCATAGCAATTTCCTTCCCTGTGACTTGATCTGTGTTGAAAACATCCACTGTTGTATGTAGTGCATGTTGCAGTCAATGTATGAGGTGACAAAAATCTTGTGACTCCATGGAAAATGTAGAATGGATGATAGATTAAAACATTGTTGGTGTTTTTCTTGCATAATGCCTCACTCAGCAATATTCCAGCGGTCTGTAAATAATTGGGGTCAGTCGGGTAGTCTAGTGGTTAAAGTGTTGGCTTGTCACGCCGAAGACCCCGGTTCGTTTCCCGACATGGGTACTATATGTGAAGCTCATTTCTGATGTCCCCAGCCGGGATATTGCTGGAATATTGGTAAAAGTGGCATAAAACCATACTCACTCACTTACTGTTTTGTTTGTTTGTTTGTTTGTTGTTTAACGCCACACTCAGCAATATTCCAGCTATATGACGGCAGTCTGTAAATAATCGAGTCTGGACCAGACGATCCGGTGATTAACATCATGAGCATCGATCCACACATTTGGGACCGATGACATGCATCAACCAAGTCAGCGAGCCTGATCCCGTTAGTCGCCTCTTACGACAAGCATAGTCACCTTTTATGGCAAGCATGGGTTGCTGAAGGCCTATTCTACCCCAGATCTTCACATGAAAGTAAACATTGTTGTACGTATTTGGTAAATTATTCAAGGTGAAAATTATTAACTCAGCATTCAGTAGGTTAATACATTTCATCTTATCTAGTCTGCATTATCATCATCATCGCCTTGAAAATTCACAAATGTGTGTTTTTGTGTAGGGTCACATTATTTATGAGTATGTTGGATGATGTCACTCATGCCCTTTGTCTTATATATCAATGCACCACTGCGATCATGAGAATAGAGAAAATGCATTGATTCAATGCTATTTTAGGGGGATTTTTCGCTGTGCAAGAAACAGATTACTGCACTACTGCCAGTCAGAGGGCATTTATCTAACAACTTGCACAAGCATACAAATTTTGAATGGAAACAAGGGGAGGTAACTCTTTAATTACAATTTGGTTTCCAAAAAATGCATGGAGGCATTTCATTTCATTTCGTTATTTCATTATGTCATACATGCCTTTTTTAATTCACTTATTTGAATAACTAATACTTTCCTACAAAAGTCAACAATAACTTCTTTAATTTTGTAATATGTAAATCCAGTTGTAACTGCCCCAAGGACATGTTGACTTTCAAAATGTGTTCAGTATATGACACTGTGTATGGGGAATTGACAGGGTAGTGAAAATGTGATTTGTGTCTTGTCTGAATTTTCAAGTAGAATTCACGTCATCATAAATTCACACATGAAGTCATGTTGTTCTGATATCAAGTGTCTGGGGAATGAGGTGATCTCTCTTCTATGATGAAATACAGTTCACACAGTAATAAGGGAACCGATTCCAGGTCACCTGCTTCTACTGAGTGGGATCTTGGCTATTATTTTATTGTTAGGATGAGAAATGCATTAGCAGGCAGGGGATTATTTCGCAGACTGGAAGGAAAAGCTTACAAGATGATTGATACCTTGCTCATGACAACCAATCATGTTGTTGCATATCGTGCAGACGGAATGAATATTTAATATAATACTTCATCCTGGATATTATATATTATTCTGCAGAAACTCTTTATGGCAGTGTGTGTTTTACATGTACGTCAGCTACAGGTTGAGGGACCTATGTTAAAGTGCATGTAAACGCTGTAGAATTGTCCTCGGTCTTCAACCATGTCAGGCTAGTTCATATGCATACCATTTCCTTGGAGTAAATGTGTTTGCTGTTGATCATCACATAATATCTTGGAATCCAATTCATGACAACCATTGTCAAATATAACACTTGTCATACAAAGATTAAATTACCCTGTAGCAATGTCAACTTATTGTCTTGAATGACCTAAAATCATTGATTAAACTGCCATTAGAACTTGCCCTGGAACCTGGCAGCGTTTTGTCTTTTCCCTTCTCTTTTGGCCATGACCTAAACAAGCTTGGCGACTATGTCATTACATTTTTAATGTTAATGATTAATCCTGATCATGTGACCTTGGCTACAGGTCACATGATCTCCAGTACCAAATACGTCCAACAATGTTTACTTCCATATGACATCACTACTGGTGACAGACATTTTCAAAATGGTGTGTTCACTGACAACAGGCCTTAAAATTGGTCCATATAGAGAGATGGACAGGGAGATCAGGTCTCGCCCTCAGCCTTGCTGGGGTGAGGCTAGGTGCTCTGGGGCTCCACCACTGCTACCATGATGTTTTTTACCTGGTACATTGTTCTTACTGTACATAGTTGCTTTTTATGTCATGTTTGCAAAACTCTGCACCGATCTATATTGCTGTACTGCAGTTGTCTCTCCAACTGTTGAACAATGTGATATTTATTATTACTCATGCATATATATTATGATATGCATTTATATCAATTATTGTGATCTCTGGTGGAGAAGGTGTTTGGTGGCTCCTAAGTCAACCACGTCCCTGTACAACCTCAAAGCTGCAGTTAGATTGGGATGGTTCATGAATGTTGGAGGACAAATGGTTTTAGAGCATATAAGTTATCCTCGATGTCATGAAGAACAGTAGCCTGGCTGCAATATTTGTTTGTTTGTTTTTTGTTTAATGCCTCACTCAACAATATTCCAGCTATATGATGGCGGTCTGTAAATAATTGAGTCCAGACAAGACAATCCAGTGATTGACAACATGAGCCTCGATCCACTCAATTGGGATCGATGGCATGCATAAAAAAAGTCAGCGAGCCTGACCACCTGTTCCAGTTAGTCGCCTCTTATGACAAGCATAGTTGCCTTTTATGGCAAGCATGGGTTGATGAAGACCTATTCTACCCTGGATCTTCATGGGCCCCTGGATGCAATAAAGTTCAGAAGAGTGAAGATGGAGGTTGCAGATCCTGCACAACAGACAGTCAGCTGTACGATCCTAACCTGGTCATATGTCACTTGCCCTGTCAACTTACAGTTCTGTCAACTGGCAACAATAGTCAACAAGAAGACTTTCATCTCAAGTGTTCCTCACAACTGATGTAAAAAGCTCAGGAGAAAATGATTCAGAGACTTATTGTTTCACTGTTGTGCAAAGTAGACATGGCTGAAACTACTTTGAGGTTATGGACCTGAGATGATGACAAGATGAGACCTCCCAAGATGAAGAGAGCAAAGACCTGTCACCAAGAGCCATTTTGCTTAGAGGCAGGTATCAAGAATGATTCATCACCTATGGTGTTTGCCTTATTAATCGTTCTCTTTGTGAGGTGTAAGGCATGCAACAATTAAAGATCGCAGCAACAGCAGTGTGACCTTGACTTGCACACCTGCACTAGGCCAATGCTGTAGATGCTGATGAGGATACAAGCAACTGCAGCTGAACAAGGTTGAGGAAAACTTCAAGATGCAAGGAGAATGATTGTATGCTGATCTTCATTCACACCTTGCAACTTTGTGACATTCAAATTTAATATGAATTCAGTTACCTTGGAGACCAAGCTTTATAGGATGGAGCATGGTATCATGGTATCCAAATAATGACAACCACTGTCCAATGTAATACTTAAAAGGTTAAATTACCCTCTCAACATGCTATCTTAATGCATAGAATGTAAGTTATTCTTTAATCACTTAATTTCAATTAATTACACTGCCAGATGTTAAACCCTATATGAACTTACTTTGCTAATCATATCTGCATAAAATGAATTGTCTTTTACCTTTAGTGTCAACCAACTATGCCATTATATTTTCAGGAATGTATCACCACTATATGAAAGGGATTAATAAATACATGATGAAGAAATACTTGGAATCGTACAATGGGCTCTGAATGCTGAGATTGCTTAATGACCATAGAAAGGGTTTGCTGCTTTTATTTAAGTTAATGATCTAATCCTGATCATGTGACCTTGGCTAGATACGTCTTGGTCCATATTGAGAGAGGGACAGAGGGAGACAGAGAGTTCATGTCTCAACCTAAGCCTAGCTTGGCTTATGCTAGCTTGTGGCACGTGGTCCTGTGCACAGCGCACAGGTCACAAATCAGGTGAAGTTAAGCAGCATAGGTCTTGGAGAGTCCTTGGATGGGTGACCATGTTTCAGCAGCTTGGCTTCGGTCCTGCCCCACACTGAAGCACATGTAACACATGTGGCATCCCCTTGGGCAAGTGACTTTGTTTGAAATGTGCCTCTGTTCACCCAGCAGTAAATGGGTACCCGGTAGGATGAGATAGCAATGTGGTTATTAACCTTCTCGGGCCTTACAGGAAGCTTGAGTTGTATACTCCCCAGGGAGCTAAGAATGATTCTTGAGTGCACACTGATCCTGTGATTGGGGTAATAATAGCGTTTTGAACAAGCCTCTGAGTGGTGTGGATATGTGCTAAATATAAATGGCTTATTATTATTACTACTATTATTATTATTATTATTATTATTTGTACACTGACCTAAATTGCTATGTTGCTGTTGTCTCTCCAATTGCAACCATTTAACCATATGACATATTACTCACACATATTTACTATGATATGCATTAACATAATTTCTTATGACAATACCATAAATTGAATATGGCACATACATATTTTTATATATTTATATGTAAATGAATCTTTATTTCCTTTTCATATGAAACTGCCACGTTTCCATTGATTATCAAATTGTATTATTACCGACAATCATGGCTACACTAGGTCCAATGTTTGTAAGGGATACAGAAACACCTGCTGTGGGAAGAGACTCACCATATATTCACAGATGGGACTGAGAATGGCTTCAAAGTCTTTGATGGAAGCTAGAACACTGAGGACAAGACACAGGAGGACCACAGCAAATCTGCAATGAAGATAGGAACATATTGAGTATAGGGCTAACATCTAGCCTTGCTCCAAGGCTGTACTGAAAGAAAAGGCCATGGATGTGAAGTGATTCTATCCTCCTTATAGGCATGTCTAGATATGTCGAAGGACTCTTGTCTCTTATAGTGACAACTTGTTCTTATTATTTAGATAATCTTGAACTTATGATTTATACTATTAATTATTTTAGAGACTTGTGCAAGTCTAGACTGACATCATACACCATGTCGTGTAAGCCCTTTGTGCAACAACCTAGTGCACATGTTGGTCAAGTAGCTTTAGACAGTGCAATTTACTTGCCCGAGACGCATCCCTTAGTTGTGATCTGGAGTTTAAATCCCAGATTTGTTCAAATTGTGAGGTTTTGTTTGTTTGTTTGTTGTTCCACGCAGGACTTGGCAATATTCCAGCTATATGACAGCGGTCTGTAAATAATCAAGTCTGGACCAGACAATCCAGCGATTGACGTCATGAACATTGATCCATGCAATTGTGACACGATGACATGCATCAACCAAGTCAGCAAGACTGACCATCTGATCCAGTTAGTCGTCTTTTACGACAAGCCTTTTACGGCAAGCATGGGTTGCCGAAGAACTATTCTATTCCAGATCTTCACAGGTCTCAAATTATCAGGTAAAAGGGGAGCTGAAATGGGGTTTTATGGCAAGTTCAAGATTATTGCTCCTATGTAGCATCATGCATTCACTAATACTGACTTTATCGTGCTAGCACACGCAGATACCATGCCAAAGTTTAATATAGATACCCCGCTCAGGCACAGTATATGGATTCCAAGCCAACAAGTCCTTGTTTTATCCCTTAAATGCTGAGTGAAAGGCAGGGAAAGAACAAGTACCATCTTTAATGTCTTTTGGTATGGTGTGTCCGGGAATGGAGCCACTTGCCGTCTGCTCTCCAGGCTGACGCTCTATCTACTAAATTACAGAAGGGTCCCTTGAGCTTTGTGGGTTTCACCAATGTTGTAAACATCTACAAAGTGCATCACCATGGGCGTTTGTTTCACATTATGCTGACACATTGTGATATACTGTATTCGCCATACTAAGCACCCTGCTCCAACAACAAGAGCCCTGGGTAATCAACTTCTAGACCAATCTGCAAGTAATCTTTATTAGCGCCCGGTCCAAACATTTACATGACAGTCCATATTTCTCTAACCACTAGACCACGGAGGCAGTTCCCAAATAATGACCCCTGTCTGTTAGCAACACATCAAGGGTTTCCACGACGGGAAAACGTCAGTGTCTTCTTGGGCTCTCCACCCACACACTGTCCATCATCAAAAAATCTGTAAAAGTCTTCCTGACAATAATATTCTGCTCAACGGAAGTTTAAGGCCTCATGATTTTTCATATGTCTATAGTTAATCTGTCATGTAATGACACACAAATTATAGTCACATGAAAATGTCAGGTTGTCCTAACATTCATTGGATTAACATTATAAGGTTTTCTGAATGAACCATAGGTTTGGCTAAATCTTTTGTCGCCTTTTACAGCAAGAATGGGTTGCTGAAGACGTTTCCAAACCAGATCCGGTTTCTGAATAAGTATGACATAACAATGAATAACTAAATAAATAAACACTCCCATCATCACATTAATAAACATAGAGTTACAGATATTCCTCATTTAACCAAATCTGACATGGAAAACCACCAAGACAAATTCTTATTCTTTCAAATGACTTAATAGGCTCTCTCAAAGGGGACATACTCTGAGAGTTATTGAACAGGGCAACTTCAGGCTGACTCTAATCTACAGGGAATGATTTCTCTGTCAAATGACTGAAAATAATGATAATAAAATGTGCCAGCTATGGTCAGTGATCGCTAACACTTCTCTAAGGGACAGATGCATTGAGTCTTTGTCTACGGTGAGGGTGATAGTAGGGGACTCAGATTGGGAGGTGAGGAAAGAGGACTGTGACATTTAGCGCCTCCTCTGCCTCACCCTGAGGGCCATTAGAGCCTTATTGGAGGCATCTCCCACCAGCCTCCACTTACTCAGACCAGCCATTGATTTTCTGTATAGTCAAAGTGTTAATAACTTCTTGGACCAGATAGAAACCTTGCTATTAGGATGATTAATGTCACTTGTGTGCTTGACCTAATCATAAATGTAACATCCCTGGATGGTAATTTTGATATGTCCATCAGTTGGTACTTATATAGCAGGATTATTACACAGGGTTCTCTGAAAGTGTCAGTGAGCTAAACACTTGGCGCCATTCAACCCTGTGCTGTGGTCATAATGTACATTTTAGTTTTCAAAAATAAAAAGGGTCAAGTGATATTTCCTCCACAAATGTACCAGCTATGGCATATATCTTTCAGACGTTGATAAATGGGGCAAGGTCAACCCAATTGCTGAGCTGCCATAATCTTGGTGAGTCCATGCATCACAAGGTCTGCTAATCATATGTTTAAACTTCCAGATTTGTCCTGAGACTTATGAGGTGAAATGGAGTTTAATGTTGCGTTCAAGATTATGGCACTTTTATATAGTAACATGCATGCATGTGTGTGTGTGTGATTGCTTGTACTAGTTCAGACTTTAGCTGATGCTAGTCCACTGAGATTCCATGTTTATCATGGATACCCTACTTATCAATATAAGAGAGCTACGCAATAAATCACAAAGAACAATGAAGAACGATGTGTGGTTTATTTCATGATAAAACATTGTTCTACCATGACGTCATTTCTGGAGATTCGAACATGCGCTCGCAACTTGATGATGTAAATTGGGCGACGTTATATTTCACGAAGTGTCTAGTGAGTTATTCCACTAGGATGCAGCTGGGCAACTCAGACAAACACAATGGCTACTCAATTCAAAATGGGAGAAATGTGACAATTGGTACTGGGAGAACACTGGTTACAGATAATCATTGTGAAAATTGTGAAAATATCCAGGAAATACCAAATGTAACCTCCCTGTTAATAAAATTGACTTGTCTGACTTGCCAAGGTTGGATTGTAATCAAGGAGTCGTCATTATTTAAATACAAGTAAACTCTTAAAGCTTGTACATTTTATTAATTTCCTTAAAGAGGCTGTACAAAATGTTGATATGTTGTATAAAAATATACAATGAGTGGGAGTTGTTTATCATGCAATAAAAGACTGCAGGGAGAATAAATCACAATAAAACACTGCAGGGAGAATAAACCACTTGGGGCTGCACCAGTCATGGTTTATTCTCCCTGCAGTGTTTTATTGTATGAGAAACAACTCCCACTTGTCGTTTATTTCTTAAACATATACTGACTCCGAGCCCACCAATCCTTGTTTAATCCCCTAATGTTGAGTGTCAGCCAGGGTAACAACAAGTACCATCTTTTAACATCTTTTGGTATGACATGGCCGGGAATTGAACCTCCAGCCTTCTGTTCTCTGGGCTGATGATTCATCCACTAAACTACAGTGGCAGTGCCTTGAGCCTTGTGGGTTTCACTTATATGGTAAACATGTACGAAGTGCATCATCATGAGGGTTTCTTCCACATTATGCTGACACAGCATTGTAAACCGTATTTGTCGTAATAAGCGCCCTGCCCCAACAAGTGCCCCTGATCAACTTTTAGATCAATCTGCAAGTAATCCATATTAGTGCCCAGTACAATGTCCAAATATTTAGGGGGCACGGGTGGCCCAGACGTCTAAGGCGCCGCAATTTGCTGTGCAGAGTTGCGTCCCAATTATGTTTCAAATCTCGGTTCGCCACAATTATGTTTCTAGGTTTGTCAGCACCATACCCGTGCTCGTGGGTTTCACCGAAGTGGTAAACGTCTGAGACCTGCATCTCTTCGGGTTTTCCTCCCACATTAAGCTGACACGCCATGATATAACTGGAATAATGTTAAAAGCGGCGTTAAACCCAACTCTCTCACTCACTCCAAATATTTACATGACAGTGCATAATTTCCTATGTCTTATTGCATATCAATTACAGGTATTTTTATAGAAAACACAGCAGTATAGAAGGGGTATATCACTGCCTTGTATCAATTACCAAAAGAGTTTTTTTTATTTCAATGGACGTTTGAACTAAATCAGTCTATACCAATCTCTGACAACCAACCTAACTTGTGTATGGTTTCAATAAGTTTTCTCCTTTCTAAATTTTCTAAGTGACCAGGGCGCTTATTTTGGTGCTATGGTTGTATGGTATTCTCAACACATATTATACAAAATTCCCCCTGCTTCCTTTTAGAATAGTTTTTCAGGTGAACAACTGACTTGCCTTTGCATGTGTTTGCCCAACCAGTGGGGCAGGATCCGCTAACTTTTTTGTGAACACCTAGTATAATCACTATTTCATAATTATTCATATACCATGCTATTAAGATGTTGGAAATATACAATGGACTCTGGTTTTAGCGGAGATTTTTTATGATTATTGAAATGGTTTTATGTCGCTTTTATTAACAGCAATCTATCTTCCTTTTTCCAATTTCTTGAAAACTGACACAAGCAATATTGTATCTTAATAGAAGCTTGGTCATCTGATTCAAAGATGATCATAATTGCTTCGGGAAGCACCCGTCTTCTGTCTTCAAGGGAGTAATCACTGTCATTTAAATACAATTGGGCAATCGTGCTTATTTACTTCTTATTCGCATGTAATTATTTAAAATATATTATTAGTATTTTGACCATGTGGTTAGGAATGATTCATTTTACTGTCAAACATAATCCTTATTGCAATCATTCAGTGTAATTAATCAATAGTACCAAGAACTGCAGGAAACAAAAATTAACAATTTACACTGTATTGTCCACAAAAGATAAATTGAAAACAATGATCTTGTGGTTTCTATTTATAATTTCTCAATATAAGTCCTTTATAGCATTGTTTATCCAGGAAATGGATCAGATGGAGTTCAGTGACAGTGGCTACTTAAAATATACTGGAAATTGCTTCCAAGAAAGTTGACTGAGTATAGAAAC